AATATATATTTTAAATCATATTTCTATATTTTTCTGTGTAACTCTTCCCTAACATATTCTATATTTACCAGGATCTTTATTTGTCTCTTTAACCATTTATCTCATTTTCGGAGTTTCAATGATTGTTGTCCCCACCTAATTAGTTTCATTCTACAAATGTGTATTACTACTTTACTTCTTACTTTTATTTTATTCTTTTTCTTTGTTTAATGAATGAGGTTTATTATCTCTTGAATCATATAGTCATAATATAAAGAAAGTCACATTTCGCTTTGATATTAAAGTTCATCGTATATATTCTATTAGGCGCAACGAAATATAATGGAATATAAGAGTACTAACAACTCTTTAACTCAGTTTTTAGAACATTTCAAATATTTTTAAATTTTTAAATCAGTTTCTATTAGTATTTATTCGTATTGGTATAAAAAATCAACATTAAAATTATAACATATAAAATAATTATATATTCTTTCTTTAATTGAATCCTCATGCGACATATTAAAGTAGCTAATCACTTTTAAATATCATAGATATGTTAATTTCTACAATATTTAACCTAATTGATTTATCTAAGTCTTGTGAAATATTTTTTTAAAATTTAATAATTAACTAAAATAATTAAAATTTAATCTAAAAATTTTATTTCCGAATTAAAATACGAATATCCGAAAAATTTCATAAACATGTTGGATGCGGAAGTGTGAAATTTCCGCACGTGGACTGGTTTACAAACACACTTTCATTTAACAAAAAGCAAAACAAAACAAAAACACAATGTATTAGTATTTATTAGTTGAATAATTAATTAAATCTCAAATTAAGTCAGCCAGTCATTCACTAATAAGCTTCGGGCAAATCCCTTGAATAAACAAGCTTATAAAAATGTATAAATTCATGGATAAATTTTGTAGTTCAAGTTCAATACGCAAAATTTGAATAAAATGGATTTGAATTCGCTACAAAATTTTACTGATTTTACCGATTTTACTGATTTATTTAAAACTAATAACTGTGCATATAACGAAAAATAACGTTATACATATACGTACGTGACTAACAGTGAAAATAAATCATGAATAATGGTAAAATGCAAATGTATCTCAAATGAATGCAGTCAATTGAAATTACAAAATGTAAAAAAATTACTTTTTAAACTGTTAAGTGAATATTGTTAAGTATGTAATGCAAATACTCTGCTACTAAGTGAAGTACGTTGCTTTGGAGTAAATCAGATTAGGATGATGCCACACTCTAGCTTCATTATTTAATGTCGAGGCTACTTGAGTCAGTGCAGACTGAAGCACTTTTACTCTCTATTAAATGCGATGTTTCTTCATAACCCCTCTCTACGCCTTGACTGAATTATTGTTTATCACTTCATCAGACTAAGCAATAATTGATCTCTAGCTTCAATTTCTTGGAATGTATTTAAGATAATCGTAAAAGGATTTTAAATATAAAAATATTTGAATACTAGACTCTAAGAAATATTTCTTCAACAGTCACAAGCACAAACACTAGTAGACATTGTTCTACGTTACACTAAATAATTTAAATATTTATCAATTGATTAATCGTATCTGAACTTTTAAAGATTTAATTCTTTCCAATTAATTCTTTAACTTAATTCTTAATTCTATACTAGGAATGCAATTCGCGAAATTTCATCATGTTCCTGTTCCTAAATGTGAAACTCTTTAACAATATTGCAGAAACATTTTCTAAAGAGGTTTTTCGAACAGTAGTGAATAACAACAACAAAAATTCATTTTATATTATTTTAATTAATTAAATTTTTTGCTGACAATATAGCTGTTTTGAGTATTGCCAAATACCCATCATCAGTGGTCTTGAAAATAGTTTTTGTATTTAATTAGTCGTAAATAATTTTTTGTAACTGCAAGTACCAGAAATCGAACTCATGTCCTGCCAAATTTGAAGCCCAAAGTCAGTGCACTTTAACATTTTCTATAAATAAAAATATAGAAATCTGTAAAAAACATATGACTCCAAGGTTCAAATTACACATGTTTCAATTCTTAACATATGCTGTCCAAAACTTTTATGATAATTATAATCACCCAAAAATTTTATTTGATTACGAATTAAATATTTGAATTTCTTCACCAATAGGCGATATTAGTCCAATTCAAAATTGATTATCCCGAAAACACCGGTATGATGAAAAGATTTGAAAATAACACTTATATAGAGTATAAGTGTATATAGAGCTATGGTTTTGGATTAATATGTATTTAATAATAGTTTATAATCACCTTCTGGTAATAATTCTCAAATTATAAACGGTGATTATTACTGCTTATACAGTCTGGAACTTGAGCATTGAAAGTTTTTGTAACCTTGGTTATTTATGGAAAAACACAATTAGTCATCGCTTTTAATTTGATAGGCACGTGTTCTAAGTCTGGCACTTGTAGATAGTCAAATTGCAGTCAAATTTTAATAAATTAATCAAATTTTTGCTGTTATTTCTTTATAACTGTTTGAACCCTTCAATTTTGTTTTTAGTTTCAAACCTTTGAATACAATCAGTTTAGAAGTTGTGTGAAATGATCTGACCTCACACGTATCGACCACTTATGGAAACAATAGAATGATAACGGTTTCAAATAAGAAACGAACAGCCATAATCGGATTCAATTGTGAATATTTGTTGAGTACCATGTAATGTATTGTGAAAGCAAAAGGGGTTTTGAATAAGAAAAGAAAAAGAAGAAAAATACAGTGAGATTCTTTTTTTTCAAGGTTTTCATATAACATCGCTTAAATTCACTAAGTCAAAACTATTGGATTATGTGCTAAATGTGCTAAATATGGACTTCAAATTTTATTTAGTTTCATTTTCATTTCGGATATTTGCTTTACTCAATCGCAACATTCCACTATACATATACGATATGTTTTATTTGTACATAATATAACTATTTAATAATATAAATATATAATTTTTTATATTCAGCTTGTCAACACTTTTAAGTTAACCCCACTCCAAAATCCTTATTGAAAAATTCCTGTTTAAACGTCTTGTTAGATTAAGGTGTGTCTAAGTAATTACGAAAAATATTTTAAAACTTTTGAAATTAAAATATATTTAAATAGTTTTAAGTATAGGTTTTCAGTAGTAATAAACTAACTTTGAACAAAATAAAAATAAATTAGAAAACTTTTAAAATAAATAATTTATAAATTAATAAAATAATTTAAATAATTAGAAGGTACCAAGACATCAATTGCAATTATTCCCGAAACTATAAAAGTAATGACAACACGCACAAGGACTAATCATATAAAAGCCAAAAGCTTCTGTGAATTAATAAATTCATTTTATTTATCAACATAAAAACATCAAAGGACGAAAGCATTCTGCAGAAATGTGTAAATTTAAGAGCCAACAACAAGAGCAACCAAGTTCCTACCAAATGGCAAATGCAGCGAAATTTCATCCTCGACGTGATTTATTTCGATTTATACGCAACACGATGCTTGTTGCGGCCATGTGTCCATTGCGGTTGACAGACTATTTTCCAAAATATTTATACTACTTGGCCATATTTTTGGAGTTGCTATTTGAAGTGTTTTTATATTTTGTTACAATCCACATTTGGATTTTATATCTGCTTACGCTGTATTTGTATTACCAAGAAGGCGATTTGGAGTTTTTGGTCAATTGCTTGATACAAGCAATTATTTATTTCTGGACCATTGCCATGAAGCTATACTTTAGACGTATGCAACCTACCAAACTGAAGCATCTCATGGATTTTATCAATTTGAAATATGTTACTTGTTCAGCAAATGGTAAGCTCATTGTGTCACATAAGCACAATTGTCCTTATTTTAGTTTGTTGGTTATTTTTTTTTGTGTTGTTGTCATGTAATTGTCTCTGCTATAATATTTCCCCATAAGGATTTACTTATGTGACCATGAATGAATCGCTATCCATGTCGAATAAGTGGATTAAAATTTATGTTTATTGCTGCTTCATTGGTACAATTTTCTGGTTAATTTTGCCTATCGCCTATGGAGATCACAGTTTGCCGTTGCGTTGTTGGTATCCTTTTGATTATAAAGTGAGTATAAAATATATATATATTATAGTAAGATTATTTAAATATCACTGGATTTTATAATAAACTATGGGGTTGAATATACTAACACACTAAATTACTTCAAACCATTATACAAATATTCTCATGAACTTTAAATACGTTTTCAAAAATCCTTCTTAAATTAGCCTCAATATACGTTCATTATAACAATAAATTATTTAAAGAAATTAACATAAATACAAAAATGAACTACATAAACTTATTATTTTAATAGAATTTGTAGACTTTTATCATTATAAATTTTGCTGATAAGACGATTTTTAAACAGAAATATGTTTCCCCATACACAGTTCTCTAGATACATATGACTAGTTATATAGCATGATATAACTAAAACTTGTAACATAATAAATTTATATCAATGTGATAAATTGTATTTATTATGTTTTTTGATTATTTAGGGTTTACATTTTATACAAAATGTTTTTTTTGTTTAAAGGATTTTTGTGACATCTTAAAGAAATAAAGAATCTATAGTTTTTTATTTTTAATTTTTTTCATTATACATAAATTGCTATTTCCTTTATAAATGTACCCGAAACGTTGTAATTTATTTGACTAAGTTTATAATACTCCACCTTAAGAAAGATACCAAATAAAATTTAAAATATCGACGACATTTACATAAAATAAAATAATGTCTCTACAAAAGAATAGTATTAAAATTTAACAATTAAAAATAATAAATATGATTAATTAATTCAATTATTTTATAGCTGGTTTATGATTTATAATATAGCACAGCAAGTAAATTTGTTAATGAACATTCACATCAAATTTATAAAACTATACATACGAACATAAAAGTCAAGTGTGACTTTGATCAGTTGGCTAATAAACACTGACTCTGAGCTTCAAATGTGGCAGGGTACGAGTTCAACCTTTGGTATATTATATTCTTTAAAAATTATTTACGAATAATTAAATAGAAGAAATAATTTCAAGACCACTGATGTTGGGTAGAAGACGTATATCTGAGATTATATACTTAAACGTTTCAGTACATATTTCAGAATGTTAACACATATGCATAGCAACTCAAAAATCTGAACTCCAAACTTTATAAGATAGAAATTCTAAGAGTTATAATTCTTCCTTCTCACACTTTTTACAAAATTCAAATAGTTGATTAGCAACAAAAATTAAATTTCTTCTTGAAATTAATTTGTAACTTTTATTGATGTTATTATGTATTTATTTTTATTATAGGAACCCTTGATATATGAAACAATGTACTTTTTCCAAGCCATTGGGCAATTGCAAGTCGCTGCGGCATTTTCAGCTTCGAGTGGATTTCATATGGTTTTAGCTATACTCATATCTGGTCAATATGATATACTCTATTGCAGTCTTAAAAATGTAATGGCGACAGCTTATATCAATTTAGGAGCAAGTCGATCAGAATTAAAGTATATTTTTTTTAATAAATTCGAATAAATTCCTAACAATTACTTGATATAGCTATTAATATTCTTATTTATAAATTAGAAAACTAAGTGAAAGCCAAGTAATCGCCGATAAGGAACCCAGTCAGTATTACTGTTCTGTAGAACTTCAAAATAATGAAATTCTGAACACAACTTTTACAACTACGGGTACAGCTGAAAATTTTTATTCTGCATTCAGAGCAGCATTTAAATCTTGCGTACAACATCATCGATATATCATAAAGGCCTTACAAAAAATGGAATATTTCTATAATCCAATTTGGTTTTTGAAAACCGGAGAGGTTATATTTTTAATGTGCTTAGTAGCATTTGTTTCGGTGAAGGTGAGCTTTAAATTCCTATAAAAAGAAATATTATTTTATTATATCTATATTATACGTATAATAGTCAACTACTGCAAACTCCAGTTTTATGAAAATAGTTTCTTTGGGTCAATATTTATTATTGGTAGCCTGGGAAATGTTAATAATTTGCTATTTTGGAGAAATTATTTATTTAAATAGTCAACGTTGTGGAGAAGCTCTATTGAGAAGTCCTTGGTACTTACATTTGAGAGAGATGAAAATGGATTTTTTACTCTTTTTATTAAATTCACAAAGGACATTCAAATTGACAGCCGGAAAAATTTATGTACTGAATGTAGATCGTTTCCGTGGAGTAAGTAAACATATAATTTATATAATTAAAATTAAATGTATATTTTAATTAGAGAGTGTGTGCGTAAATATATACTTTAAGTTATTAAAATTATATAATAAAATTTAAATGATGTTATGAATAAGGCTCTATGCTCCACTTAGGAGAGAAGGACAGCAGTAAGTAAATAATGAATAATTATAATGATATAATTAAAAATAAATCATGTCATTGAAACTCTGATTTCTTAAAAAAGCCTTAATTTTGATACGATCCATGTGAAACTTTATGTTTTCACAATGATCATAAATTGAAGTAATTAGCAATATACGTAAGGTATTATAGTTATACTTTATGCAAGGAAAATTGCTGTCTTCTCAATTGTGATTGATAAGATTGTTGAAATTCTAACAAGTACTGGTTTAAAAATCCAAAAGTATGCAGATAATGTGATTATTATTGTAATTCCAAAGATGGAATCGGCTTTATATATTACTTCAACTTTTTGAGAACAAAAAAACCTCATCGAAGTCGAAGATAACATTTTTTTAATTTAAATCTGAGTTTCCCATCTCCTCCCATCTTCTGTATTTATAATAAGTTTTAAATAATCGTTAACCTAAATATAAACATAAATTCTCGATTAATGATTAACTGGATTGATGTTGTAAAAAGCGGAGATGAGGAAGTCAGAATAAGTTTTCAAATAATACTTAATTTCAAATTATAAAAATTAAGTCGAAGATGAAATTTTTATTTTTATTATTCGTAAAGAACTCAATATCCGAGAAGTACAAACATACGTTTAGGTTAACGAATATTTAAAACTAAAAAACAGAGAAACAGCTATTGGTATCCATGAACCAAGATTCACCAAGATGCCTTTCAATTTTATATGCCCTTGTAATCTGTTTTACAGAATACTTCGAAAAGCGTTAAAAAACGCCACACATATTATTTATATGGACATTCAGAAATCTATAAAGTGTTCTTAACAATCGCCGAATTTGTTCTGAGCTTATGTTTTGAACAAAAGTTGGTACAAACAAATAATAATTAATATGCTAGTAAGTTTCTCAATAAAAAAATTTGAAAACATAATACTAATCTCGTAGCTTGGCATGTTCGTCTTAAATATCACCTTTCAAAGATGAGTTTAAGAATTGACACTGGTGAATAGTATAAAATGGTGGATTTGAAGACCTGCTTAATATTTTTCCTTCTATTCTGCGATTGTCAGAATTCGATTCTTGTAATTTAATCCAACTTTGATCAAACTGAAAGAAGTTTGAAACCTGAACTCATTGTAAGGTTTATCAATAGCACTAATAGCTGTTTAAGTCAGAGATTGCACAATATATATCATAAACGACAATGTACCATTGTCATTTCTAATAATAAAATGCTAAATGTTAATGAAATATCAATTAATTGTCTATAAAAAATTGTTTATATTGCTCTATTGTTATTTTATTCGAAACAGTCGCTCTATACATTTTACTATAATATTCGTTATAAAATATAATCATTTAAATAAATAATAATTTAGAAAAGAAACAAACATTTACAATGATATACAGTTCATTTTATTCATTTAAATTTATATTTTACACATATTCATTTCAGATTATGGCCACAGCATTCTCATTTTTAACTTTGCTGCAAAAGTTGGATGTGCGTAATTGAAATACTGAATACATTTATAACGTTCATGAGTATTTAAAATAGTTGAAAAAAGACAATTATAATTGCACTTCTTATTTTTATTTTATAAAAACAATACAAATATTTTTTATATTCGTTTTCTTTTTTTTTTTTTGTGTTTTGTTTTGTTTTCACATTAATAATATTTAAAAATAATCATATATATGCTCACATGAATACATATAGTTTCGAACTATCTTTTCAGTTATAAACGCATCTTAAAATATTTTTTTATTCAACCATTTTAGCGTTTAAGTTTTTGTTTTCAATATATTAATATTTTAATTATATATTTATTTTTATTATATTTCAATTTTTAGTTTATTTTAATTTCAATGTGTTTATATATTAATTTTTATTACATTTTTATTTCATTTCATTTATACTTTAATTATATATTTATTATACAACAACTGTATTATATTTAAATTGTTTTTTTAAATTTATAAATATTTTTATTTCCACTTTTATTGTTTTTTATATTTATTACATTTTTTTTTGTATTATATTTTTAATTTTATTATTTTTTTATCATATTTTTATTTTACTATATTTAAATTTTTTTTTTAAATTATTATTTTCATTACATATGATATTTCATTTCAAAAATTTATCGATTTGAATACATATAATTTTTTTTATATTACAGTGTTTGTTTTTTATATTTTTATATTTGAATTTTTTATTTTATAAAATTATCAATTTTTTTAAGTTTTTTTAAAAAAATAAAAATAAATTAAAAAACAATAAAAAAAATTTTGACCAATTAGCCTAGAAAAAACACTGTATTAATATTGTTTGGTCACAAAATAATTAACATTTAAATATTTTCTTTCATTAATATTTGTATAATGCATAAATTATTTGTTTTATCATATTATTTTCACATAATTATTCTTTTATTTTTATTAAATACAAACTCCTTTATATACAATTTTTTTATTAAATTATTGTTTTTATTATATTTGAATTTTTTTCTTGTTTAGATTTCAATTATTAATTATTAGATTATTGTAATGATTATAGTTGTATTTTTTATATTTTTATTTTTATTTTACAAATTCCATTTTTTTATGTATTTGAATTATTGATTATGAAATTATTGTTTTTATTATATTTGGAGTATTTATATTTTTATTTATAATTCACAAAACTCATTTTTTATTTCAATTTTTTTTATATTTCTATTTTGATTTCTATTAATTCTTATAAATTATTATTATATTATATTTTGTTATACTTTTATAATATTTTCATTTGTATTATATTTATTTTATTTTCTTATATATTATATTTATTTTCATATTTATTTTTTTATTATATTATTTTAATTACACCGAGATTTTTTTGAAAAGTTTGTTACATTTTTATTATATAATTAATTTTTTTATGTGTTCAATATTTATTAATTTTATCACTTCTATTATACATGTTTATTTTTATTATATTTTGATTAAAATATTATTGTTATCATATATTGAAATTTCTTTATATTTTTAAATTTTACAAAACTCTTATTTTTATTAAATATTTATAAATATTTAATTTTATTTCGAAAAAAAAAACAAAAAATTGTGCATACACTTAATAACTTTTAAATAAAGTTTTTAATATAAAATAAATTTAACTGGGATTTTGTTTTAGTATTATTAGTTAATTATCTGAATATTAAAGAAATAATTATATATATTAAATAATAATTTAAAATATCATAAGCTTTTAACGTTTTCGCTTGTTTAACGTACCAGCCGCTTTAAATAAATTTTGTTATTTATTATGTTAACTTGCGTAGTTTTGCCAAAAATCATAACCAAACATTATGACTAATTTAATATGTTGTACAAAAAAAATTAATTCACAACATATACATATAATAAAATGTATTTATTATTAATTTTACTTATCAAAATAATAACATTTTGCATCAATGTTAATAATTTACATAAAAGGTACTTGGAATTGCTAATAAACTTTGAGCAAAAATCATAATAAAGTGTCTTTGTGCAATAAAATAATTTTTTAATATTATTGTTTGTGCTTAAGGTAAAAAACAAATAACTATATAAATTGTAGCACTTGCACACACACACATACAGTAAATATATTTTTTAAAAAATAAACAAATAAAAAGTGCTAATTTGGCGCAATTGCTTTAAGTTGTTTCATTGCTTCTTTTGTGGCTATGTGATAATTGATTCAGTTTCTATTTTCGATATAACAAAATAATTAATTTAATAACATATTATATTAAAGCTGAACTTTTCAAAATGTATTTACATATACATTTTTTATATATATATATATGTATATATAATAAACATAAAAAGCATAAAAAATTTAGTTCAGTGTACAAATTTATTTTCCAAATTTTCGTGATTTATTGTTACTTCATTTATTTTCGTTTTAAAAAATTGTAAAGCAAACAATGGACAACAGCAAAAAACAACAACAATTACAACAACACCAATGATAGTAATTTAGTAATATGTATAAATAAAAAATACATTAATAATGAGCAATGAGCGCTTCAATTGTAAAAAAAATGTAATAATATAAATGCAATTAAAACAATTAATTTTTTGTGCAAGCCGCTCAGCTTCACTGTATTTCCATTTCACAAGGCAGCACTATTTATTTAAACATTTTCATATAGTGCCGTGCCTTGCTAATGCAATTAGTATTATTGTTGTAATTGTTGTAATTGTTGTTAATGGCTTAGTAGTTTTTGTTATAATTTTTGCTGTTGCTGCAATTAATATTGCCTTGATTTCATTTTTAATAGTTGCACGTCTTACTTTTCCTATTTCTGCAATATGACTTTGATAGATGGCTATAATTTTTGGCTAGCTTGCAGCTACAATACTTGTGCTGTTATCATGGTTATCATGCTCCGTATTAACAATCACTTGCACCACATAACCATTAGTGATATTGCACTCTTCGATTGGTACTTTATCACCCAACAGCTTACCGCTATAGAACCAGCGTTGACAGCATGTATCTATGGATTCCGTAGCCTAAAGAAAAATAAAAAAAAATATTTTAATTAAAAATAAAATAATTCAAAAATAATTGTAAGTATTTCATTATTACCTGTAATCTCTTTTTGCATTGACCTATTGTATCCTTTGAGTAAACTGCTAATTTAATATCAGACATTGTTGAGGATATTCTTAATTTCAGTACCACTTCTGCGCCACCATCGACGGGCTCAGAATATTCAGCAGGTGAGTCTCGACCATTTTCTTCTCTGACAATATTTATAGGATACGATAAGCAATAAATGGGTACCTTGTACTGCGTACCAAGTTCATCGTAACATTCTGTGAGATAACTGTAATAAAATATATGCATTATAAATTATTATTTACAAAGTAGAAGAAATAGTAGATTAATAGTAGATTAGGTTGATACCTAGCGATACCAAAAGAATTAAACATTTATGTAGCCTTTGTAATATGCATTTTTGCGAAGTTAAGGTGTAACATACTTGAAGCGTTATTCCTTAACAGAAAGCTACAAAGAATTTTTTTGAACAAAATTTAAAGCGTGTCTGAAAACCCTACCTAAGTGGAATTCAAACCCACACACTGTGTGTCGTAGTACTAGTACTACACATAGCACTGCCGGTTAGTAATATTAGTAAGTATGAGAAAAAAAAATAGTACTGTTTCCATACTATTGAAATGTTTTAATTCAAGGCTGTATTTTAAGAAACATTTCTACTGACAACTTTTTGGCATCCCAGTTGTGAACTGATCGATCCTTAATTAAGACATACCCAAAGACCAAACGATCGAAAATATTAGCAATCATTGAAAACATTTTCAAATAAATGAGTAAAATGTTTTCAAAAACTTTTTTTTTTCACGCACCTATCTTGAAAACTGGATGTGTCAAATGTCTTGCATGACGTCTGTATTCACGTAAAAATATGCTCTCGTCACGTAAGTGATAGTTACCAAGATTGCTATAAAAATTTCTATTAAAATCTTTTGACAAATTAAAGTTTAATCATTTTAAAAAAATTAAAATGTGAAAATATTAAACAAAGAAAATGGAATCTTTACAGAAAATTCAGTTCAAACCCTGAATTTTAGTCTTTTACGTTCAACTTTTAACCGACTCTACCACTTGGCTTGGTAATTTTACCAAGCGTATACCCACAGATTAAGACCCATATTAAGTCTGACTAAATCACTTTACAGTTTCACATTGGAAGAATTTTCCTTGATAATAATTGATGAGTAAAACAAAAAATAAATATATAAAATATAATAATAATAAATTCCACACTTATTATTTTATCAATTACGATTGTCTGCAAATTTACATGCCTATAGCTTCAATATCAATACTTATCACCGTATAAGGTGAAAGCGTTCTCACATGAGTCCTTTTCAAGCGGTAAGATATTGTTAAAATTTCAGTTCATAAAATTAGTTTATATATTGTACTCTATATGTATCTATATGTGCTTCGTATATACATCCACATTTAAAACAATTAAAAAATCCATTTGGAAGAAAAAATAAAAATTTTTGGCAAATTTTAAAGTATATTTGGCAAAATTTATAGTATATTTTGGTTGTCAAGTAAGTAAACTTGCTCTTTTGCATATATTTGCATAAAATTGTATATTTATAAACTCAACGCTATAACGCAGATATATAATAATGCATTTAGTAAAACAACAAGTTTTATACATTCAGATAAATAATAAAACTTTTTTTTGTTTTTGAATAATTGGGAATATTGATATGGCGTGTTAAGAGATTTTTTTATTGAATTTATCTAACTATAGAACCGTAGAAGTAGTGAACAGTTGGAGATATGTTACTCAAAAGCAAACAAGTTTAAATATAATTAATATTTAAATTTCTAAAATCTTGCAATGAATGATATTAATATAAATCATATAGAATTAATTGAAATAAAATAGTTTAAATAAACCAAAATAGACTATCTAATAAAAAAATGATAAGATAAATGAAAATAATAACAATCTTCTTAATAACTTTGAATAATTTCACTTTCTTGGAATAAATATATATATATTAAAAGAGAAGTGTATTATTATAAAACATTTAAAACTTAATTGTAATTTGTTTTATAAAAGGTTTTGTAACCATTTTATAATTAACATACAAATGATACATGAGTAATTAGTAAAATATTTAAGTATAAGTATTGCTCAATTGTGCAACTAATAAATTTTTAAAATTAATTTTTGAACAATTTTATTTACACCAACATTTCGACTACATTCTATAGTCATCTTCAGAGTACTACTATAATATTTTTACAATTTAGCAACAATTGTATAGAAACTGCAACAAAACAATTATACAAAAAATTATTTTGAACTTTCATATGCAATTTCTATTCTAAGTGCTATATGGTTCTAAAATGAATATAATCATTAAAAGAAATGAACTATCAATTATATTGGACTCGAAGTGCAATTTATATTGCTAAATTGGAATAATATTACACAGCTCAGTATTTGTGTTTCAGTAATAAACAAATGCAAATGCGGTTCGATAGTAGTTAGTAAACATCAAATCCTAAATGATATACCAACAACTTACTAAAGCATATATATGTATCCATCCATAGAATATATGTACAACTTTTAACGATTCTTTATTAGAAGGCTCTTCAATGGTTCGTAGACATTTTCGTATTCGAAGTTTTTAATATTTTAAACTATTAGATACGTTTATTTCCGATAAAGAACGCTTTCTTTATTTTTACCATCAAATACTGAATATTTTACGAAAATTTATGCTAATTTAATGATGCTTTCAAATTGTTTTAATAATTTTCTTAATAATAATTTATCAAAATTTATAGAAAATAAATGATATTATAATATATACTATGGTTTGTTTTGGAGTTTACATATCTGTAAGGTAATAAATAAGGGGCTTTAATATTATGTATCAACATTATCAAAAAATTATTCTAAACAGAAATTACTCCAATTAAATAAATTCATATTAATTATGAAGTGAAGCCTTTCACTCCACTCATGCATGCTGTCAATGTTTCAGATTAATTCATATATATAATTTAGAATAAAAAAAGTACCAAGAGCTTTACAAAATCGCGATAAAAATAAAAAAATTTCTGTAGAAAGTCTATGCATAAATATTGTCAATGTTTAAGCATTCCATTAATCGCTACCTTTATCATAAGTATTGAAAGTGGTTTATCAGAAATTCTACTATTTTTTTTCACTAAATTAAGTTCAGTGAAAAATAATAATAAGACCTTAAATTAAGTTAAGGTATTACGTTTATAAGCGACAGAGAGGTATTTAATCACTGATTTCTTATTTTTGGGGAAGAAAAAAAAAAACTGAGGACATGTCAAATTTTTTAAGGATTATTTGAATTAGTGCAAATGTGCTTACATACTGGAAAATTCTA